AAAAAAAAAAAAAAAAAAAAAAAAAAAAAAAAAAAGAACCAGTACTTATAAAAGGGTAATACATTTCCCAAGGGTTCTGAAGGGAGGAGGAGAGGAGATTGGGGAGCAGTGCGCACACTGTCTTCCCAAAAGGAAAAGGCCATTGGGGGGAAAACCGGTTGGGCCGCATTGCCACAGGAGCCCATTCCCTTTCCACGAAGCTGGGACACACAAGACAAAAGTTTTCCCTGTTCTGGAGAGGAGGCAAGGGGGGTGGGGGTGGAGAGGGGGTAAGGGGAGGGAGGCCAGGGGGGTGGGGAAAATTCCTCACAAGTGACATTATCTGTGACCTCCAGCTGCCGCTGCCCCGGCCCTGCACCTCGCTCCCTCTCTCTCCCCCTTCCCTGGGGAGCTCCGTTCCCGGGGAGCCCCCTCCCCTTTGTCTCCAGCCCTGCAACCCCTCCCCCCCCGCCCGGGGCTGGGCGCTCCCTCCCGGGGCCCGGTATCTGGGCCCCTCCCGGCCGGGACACACCGGAGCCCGGGGTTCCTGGCCGGCGAAGCTTGTTCCTGCTCCGGCTGCGCGGCCTGCATGGCTCCCCAGCCCAGCCGAGGGAGTGAGGAGGGATCCCTGGGCCCCCCGCCCCGGGCCCCCGGCTCCGGCTCGCGTCTTACCTGCCGCTCTGCCGAGCTCCGGGCGCCCCTGGTAGAGGGCGCAGACAGCTGCAGCCGCTGCTTCCCCGTACCCCCGAGCCGCGTCCCCGGGAGCTGGGAGCCGTGCACGCACTGGCTGGAGCCGCCGCCGCCACCGACTAAGCCCTGAGCCGGGCCCCGCTGCAACCGCCGGCCCCGGGTCCCCCGCCCCCGCCACGGGTAACCCTTCCCCGACAGCGCAGCGCCAGCGCCGCCACCACCGCCTCCTCCAGCCCGCCCTCCCACCTTCCTTCCTCTTTCCCGGTGCCCAACCCCCGGTCTCTAAGCAGGGCACCCTCAGGCCGGACTGGGAAGTTTTCCCGGGAAGGGAAAGGCTGGGCTCGAGCTGTGAAGGTCCCGGGGCTGCTGCTCCCGGGGGGCTGGCGCCTGGGGGCTCTCGCACACAATAGGGCGCACGCGGAGCGCAGGAGGACACTCTCCCCGCCTGCCCCCAGAAGAGCTTCCCTACCCAACTAGGAACGCGCCCCGGTCCTGGCGTTCGGGGATGGATCCCGTAGGTCTCCCGAGGTTTCAGCCCCGATTCTGCAGGGAGTCTCCAACCCCGGGGCCCAGCAGGATTGCGGAATCTCCTACTGGATTTTCTGACTCCAAAGGCGGATTCTTCGCTGTTTTGTGGTGCTGTACGAACACGTGATGCTCGGGTCTGCCTTTGACCCCTGTCTGGGGGCGGATTTGGGGAGGGGAGGGGAGGGGAGTAAAGGGGTGGGGAGGATGGGAGGCAAGGGGGGGAGGGGGGTGCTTGTCAGATGTGGGACCAGGGCGATGGCCGGGGCCAAGGACAGACCGGGGCCGGAGTAACTGCTGACCCCGGGAAAAGCCAACCTGAGTTTTTAGTTAAACTAACAAGTTATTTCGGGTCAAAGAAAGCTTATCACCGGAAGACCGTTCTGGAAAAGCCAGAAGGAGGATCCACAAGGGATGAAGTCGAACAAAGACCATTAGTACAAGTATTGGAGGGAAGGTTTTTAAATGGAGTGGGAGCCACTTATACAATGGATGAAGAGGGGAAAGTTAGAGCAAAAGGGAAAGGGGCATGAGAAAGGGTGAAATTAACATATAAAGACCAGAGTAAAAGGACCGGAGGGAAAGAAAGGGAAGGATTTCAGAAGCAGCACCGGTTGGACTAGCCATAAGGTTGTAAAAGCAGAGTCAGTAGCAACCCCAGACTTACAGGGACAACAAAAGAGCAACATTTCTTGAAAATAAATACATAGCATGGGGGCCATTTACGACTTCTGGAATCTGTACTTGGCTCTATCTACTCCAGGCACTTCTCTCTGGTCTGCAGAGATTACTTCAGAGATGTAAGTGGGAAAAATGAATAAATGCTAAACATGCCCAGTTCCTTTAATCAGTTTTCCAATGAAATAATTGTAAGCTAATACATGACATTCAAAGTCTTGAACTTTAACCCTTCTGTGATTGAATCTATAATCTATATACTCTCTATAAGCTCAGGGAGCCTACTGCCATACACTGCTGACAGTAAACTTTCAATAAATGTTGGGTGTAATTGAAAGATAACCTGATAAGGATTGTACAGGAGTATCAGGAAAAGGCTGGAATTTATGATTTCCAAAGTTTCTGCCAGTTCTGGTATTCCAAATTTCATTTTATCATTCTAGCCTATTGAGATAATTTTGATTACCAGCTCTGCCATCTTGTATATTCACTATCCTTCCCAGCTTTGAGTTGTCACCAGATAACTGAGTTAATTCTGGATCTGCTGTCCATTAGATTGTAAGCTCCTTGAGGGCAGAGAATTACTTTTGCCTCTTTTTTTATCCCTGGTGCTTAGCATAGTGCCTGGCACATAGTAGGCGTTTAATAAATGTTTACTGAATTGGATTTACACCCTGTATGATTTTGGGCAAGTCACTTAATTTCTCTGTCTCAGTTCCTTCATCTGGTAAATGGGAGAATGGGATTAGATAACATACCTGTAAGGTTCCTTCCAACTTTAAATCTATGAGCCTATGATGTGAAAATCTGATAAGCATACCATTTCTCCAAACCCTGGTTAAAAAAAAAAAATGTTGATGTGGCTGGGCCAAACACAGAACTCTTATAGCTCCCACTAGAGACTTCCTTCTAGATTTCCATCAATTAATTAACACTTTTGGGGTGAGGGACAGTCGTTAAACTAGCTAGGAATCCACCAAACTATATGATCATCCTGTTGATATCCTTTTATCTTATCTGCAAGGATACTTTAAAATGGAAAAGAAAAGGGAAGGGGAAGATTGCCTATGCATATATATTCACCAAGCTAGAGCAGCTACAAAGTAGGAAGGATAGCAATTGAGGCACCCAGAAATTTACAGAGGAAAAAAAATCCAAGAAAGAGGCCAAAAGAAAAATATTCCTGGGTACTGCGAGTACTGAGAGATGTGACTGCTGAGCTGTCAGTAATTTTTTAAAAAGATCTTGGAAAACAGGAGGGAAGCTATAAGATTGCAAAAGGCCAAATGTCTCAATTAAAAAAGAAGAGAATGGAGTATTCAAATTATAAGCCAGTCAGTTTGACTTTGATTCGAAGCTAAATGCTAGAGTATGTTATTAAAAAATGTTTTAGGAATATCTTACTTTTTTTAAGTGATAAAAAAAATGGCAGCATAACACCAAGATGTCAAGCAAGACTTAAAAAAACAACAACAGGGTTACTAGACTGTAATTCAGTGTTCACTTAAAATGTCTCTAATAGAATGACCTAGACCATTCCACTAAAACTGTTTTCTCCCAAATTGCCAAATCCAATGGCCTTTTCTCAATCCTCATTCTCCTTGAGCTCTTTGGCCTTTGACACTGTTGATAACTCTCTCCTCCTTGATATTCTCTTCTCTTTAGGTTTTCAGGACACTACTCTCTCCTGGTTCTCCTCCTACCTATCTAACTGCTCCTTCTCAGTTTTCTTTGCTGGATCCTTCTCCAGATAACACCTTCTAACTATAGGTGTCCCTCAGGGTTCTGTCCTAGGCCTTCTTTTCTTCTCCCTCTGCACTATTTCACTTGGTGATCTTATCAGCTTCCATGGATTTAATCACCACCTCTGTAGTGATGATTCTCAAATTGACCTATCCTGCCCCAAACTCTCTTCTGACCTCTCTGCTGAATTTCGAATCTCCACCTACCTTTCAGACATCTTCAAATGGACATCTAAAATAGAACTCATTATCTTTCCCTCTAAACCCTCTCTGACTCTCCTACCTTCCCCATTAATATAAAAGGCATCACTATCCTCCCAGGCTCTCAATCTAGCAGTCATCCTTGACTCCTTGCTATCTGTCATTCCTCCATGTCTAATCTGTTGCCAAGGCCTGATGATTTCACCTTTATATCAGCCTTTTCCTCTGACACTGCCACCACTCTGGTGCAGGCCCTCATCCCCCTGCCTTCACTATTACAATAACCCTACTGGTGGGTCTGCCTACCTCATCACTCCCTACTTCAATACATCCTCTATTCAATCACTAAAGTGATTTCCCTAAAGCACAGGTCTGAGCACGTAAACCCCCCAGTCAATACACTCCAGGGGCCCCCTATTGCCTTCATGAATAAATACAAAATGCTCTGCTTAGAGTTCAAAGTCCTTCATGATCTAGCCCTCTCCCTCCTTTCCAGTCTTCTTACACCTTACTCCCTGCCATGTACAAGGTAAACATGAGTTATTTGAATCCCCAAAGCAAAAAGGAATCCAGTTAGTATTATTACTTAACACAGTAATGCCTCATTAATTCAGACCCTACTCATTAGCTGATTAGAATGGGGGCAGGGCTAAAGTTTGTCTTTATGCTATTATAGGTTTAGAAGAAAAGGATTGGCTAGGAACTAGTAGTTCAAATGAGGTTAAGGAAATATTTAACCTACTTAAGAGACAAACTATTTTAAGGGATTCTAACTCTATTAATCATAAAATGACTTATAAATCCTTAAAGTAGGCACAGAATTATAGAATTTCAGCGTTGGAAGGGACCTCAAAGGCCATCTGGTCCTATTTATACCTGAACAAGGATCCCCTCTACAACATATCCAGCAAGTACTCACTCAGACTTTGCTTGAAGAGCTCTGTTAAGTCCTCCATTAAAATGTAAACTTCTTGAAGGAAGAGACCAGCTTTTTCTCCTTGTCCTCAGTTTCTAGCAAAAAGCATATGCTTAATGTTTCTTTGAAATGAATCAACTTAAACCCACGCCTCCTGAGGCCTTCCCCACTTTGGGACAGCTCTAATAGGAAGTTTGCCTCTGATTCAACATCTCTCCCCATTCCTCCTAATTCTGCCTTCTGGAGACAAGCTTAGGAAATCTGAGTCCTCTCTCCCATATGACAGACCTTGAAATACTTGATGACAGGTATCATTTCCCCTCCAAGCCTTCTCTTCCCATATGTGGTGCTGGTGAAGTTGATTTTTTTAATTCAGGTGTCAGACCTTACACTTTCACCTATTCCTTCTTCTCCTGGTACGTTTATGGCATCATCTCAAGGCCCTTGACTGTTCTGGTTGTCTTCCTCTGGAAGATCTTCAACTTGTCTTTTCAATAACTGAATGCAGTACTCCAGATGTGGAGTGGTAGGAGCACAACCTCCCTCATCTTGGGTACCAAGCCTCCTTTAAGGTAGCCTAAGCTTGTATTCACTTTGGGGGCTGCCATAGCAGATTGTTCATTTATGTTGAACCTGCAGTCTACTGACCCTGCCCCTACATCTCTTTCAGATCAGCAGCTCTCTAGTCATGCTTCACACATGTTGTACTGGAGAAATCGATTTTTAAAAAATTCAACTGTAGGGGCAGCTTGGTAGCACAGTGGATAGAGCACTGGCCTTGGATTCAGGAGAATCCAAGTTCAAATCCAACCTCAGACACATAACACTAGCTGTGTGACCCTGGGCAAGTCATTTAACCCCATTTCCTAGCCCCCCCAAAAAAATCAACTGTAACACCTTACATTCTGCCTATTTTATCTTAATTTAACCCAACTCAATTGCAGTTAGATGATACAACAGATAGAGCACTGGACTTGGAGTCAAGAAGACCTGAGTTCAAATCTGACCTCAGACTAAACTAGCTAGGTAACTCTGGGCAAGTCACTTCACTTCTGTCTTCCTTAGTTTTCTCAACTGTAAAATGGGGATCATAATAGCACCTACCTCCCAGGATTGTTGTGGGGATTAAATAATATATTTGTAAAAAGTGCTTAGCACAGTGCCTGACACATAGTGGGTACTTAATAAATGCTTATTTCCTTCCTTTATTCTAGCCTATGCAGATCACTTTGGATCCTGACTCTGTCATCCTATTCTTAGCTATCCTTCCTAGTTTTGGATAAACAAGTCGTCGATAAAAATGTTAAACAGCACTTACTACCTAAATAGCCATTTGACTATCATACAATCAATCAATAAACATTTATTAAGAGCTTACTATATGCCAGACACTGTACTAAGCAATAGGGATACAAAAAGAGGCAAAAGACAGTCCCTGCCCGAAAGAAGCTTACAATCTAATAGGGGAGACAACAAACACACAAATGTATATGAACAAGTTGTATATAGGATAAATAGGAAATAATTAACAGAGAAGACACTAGACTTAAGAGGAGTTGAGAAGGGCTTTCTGGAGAAGACAATATTTTAGCTGGAATTTAAAGGAAGCCAGGGAAGAC